TCGTTTTGTAATAAATGAGAATCAGAATTATCCAAATGTGATTACTGATTGATTAGTAAAAAAATCTGATTAAGAAAGGAAACAAATAACAAGCGGCGTATATTCTTTTAACAGGCTGGCACGTTTGTATCTAATCTCAAATTTCTTTTTTCTTTTTCCTTTTTTTGTCAATTCGTTCGGCGACATAACAATCCAAAAAAACATTCTTTTTTAGTTTTTTTTTGGTGTGTTTATATATACACACACACAAAAAAAAGAAGAAGCAAAACTGATATCTTTGAGACATTTGGGATACGCAACCAAATACAAAAGAAAAAAGACAGTCTTTCTCAGATTTCATCCACAAGAACCCTAATTTGAGGTTTGTGTACTTCTTTTTTTTCAGTATTGCATTCACAAATTTAGCCCTTTTGCGTGTTTCCATTAACTGGTTTTCACATTGGCGACGAAAGATTTGATATTTTTTTTTGCTGCTTAAATTTCTGTGATTTTTGTTTGATTAGTTTATTGCAGAGTGGGTTCTTCAAGTCTGCATCTTTGATTAGCTTTTATTCGAGGATGTGGATTTTTGTTTATTTGGGGCTACATTGTCTCTGAGCCACTGTTCTCGAATCTCATGTTCGTTTTTAGTTCCTTGTCAATTATAAACCGTCTCTTATCTGGTTCGGTGGGTTTTAAGCAAAAACAATTTTAAAGGTTACTTTGTCTTCCGAGTTAGGGGTTTTTTTTAGGTGAAACCAAAATTAGCATTCTTTCTTCATTTGTCTAATCTCTTGTATGATTTGTTCATGTAGCAGGACAGTTAAGGAAGTGTGCGAGTTTCATTAGTCTAAAAGATTGCTTTTGTGGGTGTTAAGTGGTAGTTGAGGAGAAACTTAGTGAAGGATGGATCAAATGGTTTTAGGAGAACAAGATCTTGAAGTAGACCTTGAAGCTGGTCGATCTGATGTTATGCAAGAATCTACATCAGATATGGTTTCAGGCAATGTTGTTTGGAGTGAACGTGCGTCTGAAAAGATTGTTGATGAACTGAACTATCCATTAATGGGAAACGAAAACCGGGCAGAAACAAGTAGTCAAAGTTTGGATCTTTCGGAGAAAAAATGCGATAATGTAAAGATAAAGAAGTCGAGAAAGGCTTCAAAGCCACCGAGACCACCAAAAGGTCCTTCGTTGAGTGCGAATGACCATAAGATGATGAGGGAAATAGCGGAGCTCGCAATGAGAAAGCGTGCGAGGATTGAACGGATGAAAAACTCTCTAAAAAGAATTAAAGCAGCAAAG